CCTACTTTCCCGCTATTCACTGGCCAGTGCGGCCAAAGCGGCCGATTCTTCCGATCATAGGCTGGGGGGGCAGGGCAAAGGCGGCCCTGGGGGCTGCCTTTGCCCTGCCCCCTGGCTCTTAGCTCCCCCCTGGGTTTCCGATCACTGTCAGTGGCAGGGGGCTTCTTCCGTGCTTTCACTTTCGCCTCCCTGCATTGTGCCTACATATGCAAATTAACCGCCATCTTTGTTGGCGGTTAACCGCCATCTTGGATGGTGATTAATTTGCATATCTTGCTAATTAGCCAATGGGAAGGGTAGCGGTCATACGCTAATTACCATGTTTCTCTTTTATTAGATTAGATTGTAACTCATGACGTGGAATGCTCAGCACACACTTTCCCTCCAGCCCCTGGTCTTGGAGACCTCATGTCCTTCCAAGGCTCTACTCACCCTCTTCCACTGCCACACGAAGTAAATTGCATCGTGTGCATGGAAACCCTTTGCAGGCTCCATGGGTATGTCTTTACTTCACTGCAGTTCTGATTACCCCAACCTAAGGAGAGACACCCTCATTATCTGGTAATACCATAGTGGTAAGTCCCCTGCTCAGCCTACTGCAGCAGTTTTAAATAGGCCATGGGTCTCCCTACATGGTTTGGCTCAGTGGATAGAGCCACAGCCTGCAGAATGAAGGGCCCTGGGTTCAATTCTGGTCAAGGGCACACTCCTGGGTTGTGGGCTCAATCCCCAGTAGGATGCATGTGGAAGGCAGCAGATCAATTCTCTCTCATCATTGATGTTTCTATCTCTTTCTGCCTCTGCCTTCCTCTCTGAAATCAATAAAAACATATTAATAAAAATAAATAGGCCATGAATCAAATATTGCTGCTCTCCATCCAACCAGTCCCCTCACAACCTCTTTTGTCTTCGCCCCCCCCACACACACACACAAACACACACACTCTGCTGGGGTCAGGATTTCTACTTCAACCAAGGGCGATGCTTCCACACGGCCCTCCTTCCCAGCCCATCTCTGTCCCCAGTCCTGTGGGGTCTCTCCCTCCCACCCCTCCATCGAACTTGGTGGTCCCTGCTCTGCCCCTCCTCCTGCAACCTCCTGTCTGCAGCCACCCCTTTCTCCTCCAAGGCAGAGCTCCCCAAAGGCTGTGCAGGGCAGGGCAGAGCTGTGCAGGCCATGCAGTGGTGTGGAACTGTGTGGGGCAAGCCCAGGAGGGACCTTGGAGGAGAGCTGGGGTGATGGGTCACGGTGAGGAGGAGGGGGAGAAGGAGGGAGGGATGTGGAGCCTGTCCTGTGGAAGAGGTACTGGGCTCCCCACCCTATTCCCCTCTCTGCCTCCTGTTTCCTTTCAAGTTTTGAACTCGGTTTCTCTGACTCAGCCCTGTCCCCCTCTCTACTGTGTCCCCAGGAGCCCTAGGTGGCCCCTTGGCCTCAGGCAGGTGCACCTGGCCTGTCCCCCATAATGGAGCTACCCACTCTCCTGGAATAGTTAGTGAAACTTAACAAATAAAAAGAAGCAGCTCTGAAGATTATGAATTGCGCCCTGAAAACACCACAGACTGCAGAGGGCTGTGCAGCCCATGGCTCTCAGATCATGCTTAGCAGCCTCCCATGTCACCTGGTCTCTCCTGGTTCCTGCCCCTGCATGCCTCTGCCACGGGCTTGGGCCAAACCCTGGAGCTTCCTGACAGCTCTCACCTCACACCTCACTTTCTAGTCCAGCCCACCAGCACCCTGCAGCAAGCTAACCTATCAGTTGGAGCGTCTGCCCCCTGGTGGTAGTGCACGTCACAGTGACTGGTCGAGCTGTTAACTCCCAGAGGAACACTAGTCAAGGGGACAATTTGCATATTAGGCTTTAATTATATAGGATTAAACTTAT